CGGGAAGAAAATAGAGAGAGATCATATTAAATGTAACACCAGAAATTTGGGGAAGCCTTAACCCTGCATCATGCTCACAACTATCTTGCACATGGCTTTTCCTTGTTACGTTTCAGAACGTGTATATTCTGGATCAATTTTTTAACCATTGTGTCTAATCTATAATCCATTTGAATTGTTGATTACTTTGTCAGTAAATGTGTGTTGTATATTGCAGGCTTATGCCTGTGGTTCAAGCTGTTGAAGGACTGTGGTTGTTATTGAAAAGTATTCAGCCCATTTAATATCTGTAGCCTTCACGATATCCCTGAGTGCCTTACACAGCTTGCTAACATAAATATGTGTTGTCACAAAGAGGGGGAAAATGCAACCGAAAGTTATTTTTTGGTGGATGGGTGCCAAATTTTCTTGCATCTGTAATGACACCATTAAATCCTTATACCCCAGAATATGTACATGAACAGAAATGGATTTAGTTTAGGCTCAGGAAACCATATTGTAAATATGTATAGTGCATTTCCATATTTATTGTACAGTTTATTTAAATATCTGTTGTAAATGTCTGTAAAAACCAAACACATCAACAGTAGATTTCTTCCATGGTATAACTATGCCATGCTCTACTTGTGTTTTCTAATGTAATCTCATATTAATCATATCTTAAATACTTAAACGTTTTGTTCTGTGCTAAAGAGATAATTTATGGGCCTAAAATAGGCTTATATGTACAAAATTTTACACATATTTTTGTATTGTGGTTCATAATATAATATATAAATATATCTCAGAGAGTTTCTATTCATTTGTAAAGTACATAAATTATTGTAAAATTTTAATTAAAAAAGTCTTTTAAATCAACAAAGATCTGAGTGTGTTTCTTCTCCAGACGGCTCAAAAATGTTTGGAAGACAACTTGTTAAATTATATGCATATTGATATCATGTGTCAGTGAGATGGTGAATCCACTTTTGGTCTAACCTTTATAGAAATTTACCCAAACTGCAGAATCCTATCTCTATTCCCCAGAATAAGTTCAGAACCTTTCCACCTAAAGTTAAGGATACCATCCTGATTTTGAACCGGTGTTTATCATCAGTAATGGACAGAATGAAGGTAAACAAGTTGAAATTAAATCCAGACAAGCCAGAGGTACTGTACTCTTGGTCCATCATAAGACGGACCAGGGTGGGAGCCTGTGTTGGATGGGGTCACATTCCCCCTGAAGATGCAGGTTTGCAGACTGGGGGTGCCCTGGACTCATTGCTGACCCAGGAACCCCAGGGGTCAGTGGTGGTCCGGAGCGCCATTGCATAGTTAAAACTTGGGTGCCAACTGCTCCCATACCTTGAGATGCTACATCTGGCCATGGTAGTCTCCCAACTATCATAAACTCCAAGGTGGGTCACAGAGGGAGATACATTCAGAAAAGTAGACTGGGCATAGTTGTACATAGCAACAAGACTAAGATTGTTGGGACCAGTCCTTACTTTAAGTATGCACTTTAGATCACAAAACACTCAACTGCCAGAAATGTTTTCACAGATAAATAGTAACTCTCCATTTTCTGTCAGTTAAAAAAAAAAAGACCATTGGGCCAAGCTTTCTGCTTGCCTTGCAATGTGATGACCTAATTCTGTCCAGGAACTCTTTTCTGGAGCTATAATCCTATATCAGCTAAAACAACACAGGGAGAAATTATGTGAAACCAAGGGCAGCTTATTGCCTCAAGGCAATCGTCAGTTCTGTGCAAAAACCTTACACAGAATTATTATTCTCTCATTCACAATGAGAAAGTCAGTTTAAATATCCTACCAAAGGACCTACTATGTATCTATCTCAACATATATTTGAATATTTTAACTGTATAGTTTTTTAAAGATTATACATCACTTTAGGTCTTATTTTCTGGAAATAAAAGTGAAGAAAAATGATCACAATTATAATAATGATCATAATCATAATAATGATTAGTAAATCAAAACTTTGTCTCTTCTAATTTTAAAATGGCTATGGAGAGAATAAACAATTTAAATTTTAATATGGCTGAAAGGGTGCCCCAGACATAACAAGTGCATGAAGAATATAATTGCTATGTTTTATTTGTTCTATTAGTACAGGTGTAATTTGTTCACTTCTGGATGTACCTGTAACCAGTCTGGCTGCCATGTTTTTAACTAATTGGAGTTTCCAAGCTTGGTACAGAAGTAGCCAGATGCAAAACACATTGTAGAAGTTCAATCTTGAGGTTACTGTGCACTACAATCAGTATGCATGATGTGTTCTGCATACTTGTTGAATATGTTGGGTGAGAGTATACAACCCTGCCATATGCCTTTCCCAATCTTGAACCAGTCTGTTATTCCATGGTCAGTTCTTACTGTTGCTACTTGGTCCTTATACAGATACCTCAGGAGAGAAACAAGGTGATTTGGTATGCCCATGCCACCAAGAACTTGCCACAATTTATTATGATCCAGACAGTCAAAGACTTTAGAATAGTCAATAAAACAGAAATAGATGTTTTTCTGAAACTCCCTGCCTTTCTCCATTATCCAGCGGATTTGGAAATTTGGTCTCTTGTTCCTCTGCCTTTTCTAAACCCAGCTTGTACATCTGGCAACTCTCTCTCCATGTATTGCTGGAGTCTTCCTTGCAGGATCTTGAGAGGGGTCCTCAAACTAAGGCCCGGGGCTCGGATATTGCCCTCCAAGGTCATTTACCTGGCCCATGCTCAGGGTCAGCCTAAGTCTGAAACAACCTGAAAGCAAACGCAACAACAATCCTATCTCATCAGTCAAAAGCAGGCCCACACTTCCCCACACTTATCGAAATACTAATAAGTTTATATTTGTTAAAATTGTTCTCCATTTTAATTATTGTATTGTTTTTAATTGTTTTTTGCACTACAAATAAGATACATGCAGTGTACATAGGAATTCATTCATGCTTTTTTCAAATTATAATCCGGCCCTCCAGCAGTTTGAGGGACTGTGACCTGACCCCATTAAAAAAGTTTGGGGACCCCTGATCTTGAGCATTACCTTACAGGCATGAGAAATAAAAGCCACTGTAAGAAAGTTTGAGCAGTCTTTAGTGTTTCCCTTTTTCGTATGGAGATATAAGTTGATTTTTTTCCAGTCTGATGGCCATTCTTGTGTTTTCCATATTTGCTGGCATATAGCATGCACAGGGCCGTAGCCAGAAAAAAATTTCGGGAGGGGTTGAAATTTTCGGGGGGGGGGGGGTTGAAAATTTCAGGGGGGGGGGGTTGAAACCTGCCTCATAGCTCACGCTGAAGCAAAGAGCACAGCAGGGGGCAGAGCAGCCTTCAATAGCCTGCAGCTCCGCCCTTGTCAACCACCTCCACCAAGTCTGGCCTCCTTAATGAGAGCATTCAACATCCCCCCCCCAACTTGGTTGCATCACTACTGTTCTGTCGCGCGCTGGGCCTGTAAATAATTGTCTTTAGAACAGGATGTGCAACCTTTGCCCAGCGGGAAGCCAGGGGCCTAAAGAGAAGTTCTCAGAGGTTTCCACCACAAACAGTCTTTAGATGGCTTGAGAAGTACAACAAAGTCTTTTATTAATGAACAATCAAACAGAAACTTCTCTTGTCTTCAGTAAAGTTAAGCAAATGATTCCAAGCTTTTAGGCAACTGGTGAATTCCTAATCTTGCCCACGAAGGACAGGCAACTGTCTTCAATAACTTCTTCTTTAAAGGAAAATCCCCTTTTTAACTTCTCCCAGGCTGACTGTAATCTAACCCTTACTGATGTGGGCTCTGCTACCGGGTCGAACTGCGTCTCGAACGCCGAGTGGACCTACCAGCAAGGCAGTAGATGTTCTCCAGCTGGAGTTCTTTGGTCTTTAGGGCTGTTTTCCTGGAAATTCTTTGGAGACTCTTAAGACTTTTCTCCCCCAGAAGGTCTTAAGGGTTGAAGCTTTTGTACAGGGGAAGCTTGCACACATCCTATACATAAGCTTACCTTGCTGAGACTAACTAAAAATGGCTCCCTTCCCAATTGCCCTGAGCAAGGGGCGGAACCAAAACTTAACAATGATGGACAGGTGACTTGCCCTATGACTGCAACCAAAGAAGCCACCTATCTGCAGAGTCCCTGAAACCTAGGACTGCAAGCAAACATTTAATACAAAGCAAATAAAGTTGGAGCTCCTGGTACAGCTGTACCAGAACAACTACATCGGCTCTTGCTGCAAGTAATGACAGTGTGAATAAATTGCCAATATTTGCTTGAGATAGTGCTTGCAGTTCTGGAGGGACTCTTAATTTTTTGCATCTCATAGACTTAGCATGGGGATTTGGTTAACCAGTTAAAATACATGAGTAAACCAGGTTTTTTAAAAAAATCTGAAACATTTCGGGGGGGGGGGGGAAACCCCTAACCCCCCCCCCCCCCTTGCTACAGGCCTGAGCATGCATCACTTTGACAGCATCGTCTTTCAAGATTTTAAACAGTTCGGTTTTATTGCTATATCTCTGGCAGTAAAACTGCTATTTCTGTGAGCTGCCTTGAGGCTGAGAAAGGTGGGCTACAAATGCCATACGTAAGTAAGTAAGTAAATTCAACTTCAGAACAACGATGGCCATTCTTGTGTTTTCCATATTTGCTGGCATATGGCATGCATCACCTTGACAGCATCATCTTTCAACACTTGAAACAGTTCAGTTTTATTGAGCTGCCTTGAGTCGCCTCAAAGATGAGAAAGGTGGGCTACAAAAGCCATAAGTAAGTAAATAAATAAATTCAACTTCAGAGCAAATCTACCTGACCTGGGGACTACCTGCCTCTAATGTCTGCTGTAGGACCTGTCACTGTGTTTCTCCCTCTTTGGTTGGAAACCCAACAAGTCCACCGAAGTGACTGCCTCTCCCTTGGCGCCTGTGCTGAAGTGACAGGAGGGAGGGATGGAGGGAGGGATGGGGTCTCTCTCTCTCTCCCACCTCCTCTCTCTCCCCCCATGGGTGGGCTGGGCTGGCTCTCCTTTGGACGCGCTGCCAGGCGCTTTCAGCACCACAGAGGCTGGACAGCTCCTCCGCCCGGCAGGCTGCCAATGGCAGGCGCTCACCTGCCTGGAAGGGGAGTCTCTCTGTAACGAGAGCAGCCAGCATATCACACAGAGAGAGAGACACACACACACTTCCCGGCCATGGAAGAGAGGCAGGAGCCCAAGAAGAGAGAGGACCCGCTGCCCGATTGCTTCGCCGCCTTGGGCGCCGGCAGTCCCAAACCCCGGCAGAAGTACGGCGGCATGTTCTGCAACGTGGAGGGCGCCTTCGAGAACAAGACGCTGGACTTCGAGTCGCTCAACGGCAACGGGAAGAGGGGCAGCCCCACGCCCAGCCGGCCCCGGTCCAGCCCCGGCTCCGAGGGCAGCAGCCGGAGGAACAGCCCGCCTCGCAGCGCGCCCCCTCTGCGCCCGCCTCCCTCCGGAGGAGCCGACCCGCTGCCCAATGGCTGCACGCAGGTAAGAGGGAAGCAGCCACCCCATTGGAGGAAAAGTTACTCCCGCTACTCTATGTCCCACCTGTCTGTCCTTATTCTTGGCCTGGATGGTGTGTCATCCTTCTATATAAATAAAAATGTAATGTTCGTTTGTGGGATTAACAGAACTCAAAAACCACTGGACGAATTGACACCAAATTTGGACACAAGACACCTAACAACCCAATGTATGTCCTTCACTAAAAAAAATTGATTTTGTCATTTGGGAGTTGTAGTTGCTGGGATTTATAGTTCACCTACAATCAAAGAGCATTCTGAACCCCACCAACGATGGAATTGAACCAAACTTGGCACACATAACTCCCATGACCAACAGAAAATACTGGATGGGTTTAGTGGGCAATATCCTTTGGTTTTGGAGTTGTAGTTCACCTACAACTGTGGACACAAACAATGATGGATCTGGACAGGCCCGTAGCCAGGATTTCGATTGGGGGGGGGGGCTGAGTTTGTTTGGGGGGGGTGAGTTTGGTTCAGGGGGGGGGCTGAGTCTGAGTGAAAGAGGGTCTACCCTAGCAAACCTTTTGTATTGTTACCCCAATACCCCCATGCATATGGGATATATTGAGTATGGTGATCAGATCATGATAGAATAAACATAACAGTTTAAATAATGCACCAGTAAGGCCTTTTCGCGGACCACCATGAGAATTTCGGGGGGGGGGGGGGTGAAGCCCCTCAAGCCCCCCCCCCCCCCGGCTACATGCCTGGATCTGGACCAAACTCTACATGAATACTCAATATGCCCAAATGTGAACACTGGTGGAGTTTGGGGAAAATAGAATTTGACATTTGGGAGTTGTAGTTGCTGGGATTTATAGTTCACCTACAATCAAAGAGCATTCTGAATCCCACCAACGATGGAATTGAACCAAACTTGGCACACAGAACTCCCATGACCAACAGAAAATACTGGATGGGTTTAGTGGGCAATGTCCTTTGGTTTTGGAGTTGTAGTTCACAACTCCAGAGATCACTGTGGACACAAACAATGGTGGATCTGGACCAAACTCTTCACAAATACTCAATATGCCCTAAAGTGAATACTGGTGGACTTTGGAGAAAATAGAAATTTGACGTTTGGGAGTTGTAGTTGCTGGGATTTATCGTTCACCTACAATCACAGAGCATTCGGAACCTCACCCATGACAGAATTGGGCCAAACCTTCCACCCAGAACCCCCATGTGGGCCACAGCAACATGTGGCAGGGGATGGCTAGTTATTCTATATATTTTTATTTTGTTATTTTACTTTTTACTTGACATTTTTCATATGTGATTGTATATTCTATTTGATTTTATTTTATTCCTTTATATTTAATATTTTATTGTATACTAGCTGTCCCCTGCCGGGCATTGCTGTGGCAGGTGATCTGGAAATAAAGTAATGAGAAAATGTTGGTTTCTAATATATGTAATGTCTTTATACTTGTGGGTAAACAGTATTTCTTGCTGTTTCTTTGTCAGTGTTGATGTGGAGATTGTCTGATTTGCCTTCTCTGGAACATGCAACATATAGTTGTCCTTCTTTAGGAGTCCCTTTCAAATCTATGATACTATATCTCTCTGTGTGTGAATCTTATATATCTATCTATATCTATGGCTGGATGACTCTTTGTCAGGGTGGCTTTGATTATGTTTTCTTGCCTCGGTGAAGGGAGTTGGGCTGGATGGCCTTAAGTATGGGGGTTCTGTTTGGGAAGTTTGCCCCAATATTGTCATTGGTGGAGTTTAGCATGCTCTTTGATTGTAGGGGAACTATAAATCCCAGTAACTACAACTCCCAAATGTCAAGGTCTATTTCCCACAAACTCCATCTGTGTTCATATTTGGGCATATAAAATATTTGTGCCAAGTTTGGTCCAGATCCATCATTGTTTCAGTCCACAGTGCTCTCTGGATGTAGGTGAACTACAACTCCCAAACTCAAGGTCAATGCCCACCAAACCCTTCTAGTATTTTTTGTTGGTCATGGGAGTCCTGTGTACCACATTTGGTTCAATTCCATCATTGTTGGAGTTCAGAATGCTCTTTGATTGTAGGTGAGCTATAAATCCCAGCAACTACAATTCCCAAATGACAAAATCATTTTTTTTTTAGTGACGGTCACTCCTTGGATTAGTAGGTGTCTTGTGGCCAAATTTGGTGGCAATTTGTCCAGTGGTTTTTGAGTTATGTTAACCCCACAAACGAACATTACATTTTTATTTATATAGATTTTATTGTATACTAGCTGTCCCCTGCCGGGCATTGCTGTGGCAGGTGATCTGGAAAATAAAGTAATAAGAAAGTGTTGGTTTCTCATATATGTAATTTCTTTATGCTTGTGCGTAAAGAGTATTTTTTGTTTTTTCTTTGTCAGTGTTGATGTGGAGATTGTCTGGTTTGTTTACTCTGGAACATGCAACATATAGTTGTCCTTCTTTAGGAGTCCCTTTCAAATCTATGATACTATATCTATGTGCGTGTGTGTGTGGATCATATCTAGCTATATCTATGGCTGGATGACTCTTTGTCAGGAGAGCTTTTATTATGTTTTCTTGTCCTGCTGAAGGGAGTTGAACTGGATGGCCTTAAGGCAGCATTTCTCAAGTTGTGGGTCAGAACCCCTGGGCGATCGTGAGGGGGTGTCAGAGGGGTCAACAAAGACCACCAGAAAACACAATATTTTCTGTTGGTCATGGGGGTTCTGTGTGGGAAGTTTGCCCAATTATATCATTGGTGGGTTTCAGAATGTGCTTTGATTGTTGGTGAACTATAAATCCTAGAAATACAACTCCAAAATGTCAAGGTCTATTTTCCCCCAAACTCCATTTGGGCATATGGAGTACTCTTGACAAGTTTGGTCCTGATCCATCATTGTTTGAGTTCCCAGTACTCTCTGGGTGTAGATGAACTACAACTCCCAAACTCATGGCCAATGCCCACCAAACCCTCCCAGAATTTTCTGTTGGTTGTGGGAGTCCTATGTGCCAAGTCTGGTTCAATTCCATCATTGGTGGGGTTCAGAATGCTCTTTGATTGCAGGTTAAATGTAAATCCCAGCAACTACAAATCCCAAAATGACAAAATCCATTTTTTGAGTGGTGGTCACTCCTTGGGGTAGTGGGTGTATTGCGACTGAAGGAGGTTTTTAAGGGAAAACAATGGGGCAGGCAAGGGTGTCATTTAGCCTCCTGAGACAAACGTCTTTTTCTACATGCCATACAACGCATTATATGGTTCTATGCTCACCATCCAAAGCAGTTCAAACTACATTGTATGGGAGTGCAGAATCAGCCACTGAATCCTAGAATCCTACAGTTGGAAGAGACCCCGAAGGGCCTCGTCTCTATTAAAAGTTCTTGGACAACTTTGGGTAGAAATGGGGGAGGCAAGGGAATGTGAACACAATAGTTGTGAAGGATTTGCAGTGGTATCTTCTCTGTAAACATGGACATTGAGGAGATCTAGTTTTCCAGTGGTTCTTGCTAATCCACCACATGTGGCCATGTCTTTCTCTGCCTCAAAGGTGAGTTCCATTTGCTGGCTTTGGTGCTATATTAGTGTGGCTGTGTATATCCTACAGCAGTGGTTCCCAACCTTTTTTTGACCAGGGACCACTTGACCAGGGACCACTTTGACCAGGGACACCTCTCCAATATTAGTACCAAAAGAGTTACAAATCAGTTTTTGGTCAACATTACATTCGTTTTGGGGGGCTGATTCAGAAAATTGCATTGGATAGACCACATCAGCTCTAGTTTCTGATACAGAACATATGTCATGGTCAGCAACAGGAAGGAGTGGTAGGCAGTGCAACAGGAGTGGAAATAAAATAAAATAAAATAAAGAAGGAGGCTCACGGACCAGATTTTTGTTATCGCAGTCCACTGGTGGTCAGCAGTCCACAGGTTAAGAACCACTGTCCTATGGGTAAAGGGCTAAATAAATCCCTGCAAACAGGCATGTAGCCAGGGGGGGGGGCTCGGGGGGCTTCAGCCCCCCCCCCCAAATTCTCATGGTGGTTCGCGAAAAGGCCTTTTTGGTGCATTATTTAAACTGTTATGTTTATTCATATCATGATCTGATCACCATACTCAATATATCCCATATGCATGGGGGTATTGGGGTAATGATACAAAAGGTTTGCTAGGCTAGACCCTCTTTCACTCAGACTCAGCCCCCCCCCCCCCCCCGAAACTCAGCCCCCCCCGAAACCCCCCCTGAAAAAAATTCAGCCCCCCCCCCCCCGAAACAAAATCCTGGCTACGGGCCTGTGAGCTAAGGGTTGTGGATGCTGCATAGGGTCAGCACTTGTGGCCTCATCATACTAGAAAATGAATCCACTTTAAATCTGGTTGCTGCCTCCTGCAGAATTTTGGGATTTGTAGTTTAGGGAGGCGCCTTTAACAGCCTCACTAAATGACAAACCCCATAATTCTGCAGGAGACAAAACCAGATTTAAAGTGGATTCATTCTCTAGTGTGTTGAAGTAGTTGGATAGGAGAGTGCCAAAGAAGATCGGTTGCTTTGATCTGTATTTCAGAGGAAGGAATTGGCCAAAGCATCCATCCGAAAATTATGAGATCATCTGAAGCAGACAGGTGCATGGAAGACACATCTACACTGTAGAATGAATGCAGTTTGACCCTGCTTTAACTGCCGTGGCTATGGGATCATGGTTGTTGTAGATTGACAAGCTTTATATGTCTGAATGTGAGTTCCTCAGCAAACTACAGTTCCTCAGATTCCATAGCTTTTAGCCATAGCACTTAGAATACAGTCTAAATGTAGACTGCATTCATTCTACAGTGTAGGTGCACTCTCAGGTGTTTATATTGCTGGACTGAATTGGGTGACTTTGAGAAGCAGCCAGTGAATGTGCACAGTGGACCTTGGGTCCTCCTTTTCCCCTCCCCTCACATGCACACTCCAATGGGGATCAAATGCAGGTGGCTTCCTTTGTGAAAAGAGATGCTT